TGCCATGGTCCCTACGGGAGCACCCGGGAGTCTCTTGCCGCCCCCGGAACCAGTACCGCCGAAAAGACAAGCGGTTGTTGATAGATTGCGAAGACGTTTAGAAAACTACAGGAGGAGACACAACGATTGCATTCCCAGATTCGATCAGACTTTTAGTGGAGTCTGCGAGCAACAAAACCTAGAGACGAGCGCCCTTCAAAAGCGATTCCTCGAGAGCAAAGCTAAGAGGGCGCAGAAGAAGGGCGGAGAACGGAAGCAGCACGATTTGCCGGCAATGGCGGCCAACGTGCACGTGGTAAGTGACTTCAATTTCATTAGTATTTTTTTGTAAATATAAGATATGGGTTAATTATAATCAAGTTCACAGTTTGTAAGTTACTTAAAATTGGTAACTTGCAATCAATAAGATTTCTTCAAAACTTGTATTATTAATCTTAATACTTCTAGTTTATTGTTAAATCAAGTATAATTATAAAATATGTCTTTTGAAGATATATCAGATTTAGCTTGGTTTCATTTTTTTCGTCCAAACTTTTTAACTTTCCGTAGGTTAAGTTATACTAAGCGAAAGTGAATTTTTTAAATTCCCGTGGGGTAAGTTATTGTAATCGCAAAAAAATCGAAAATGAAAATTTTTGCATTTCTCGACGTTTCAAAGGTTTCTGAATATTTTGGCATACCTTAGAAAAAATGGATGTATGAGTGTGTGTGTGTGTTTTATGTGCGTGTGTTTATGTGCGTGTGTTTATGTGCGTGTGTGTATGTATGTGCGGATACAAATTTTCGTCGACGTTATCGGGAACACGAATGAAGCAATTTGAATAATTTAAAAAATATTCGATTTGTATTACTAAGGAGACGTGCTGATTAGTTTTTGGCGGAGTTAGGTCTAGCCGTTCCGAAGATATGGGGCAAAAAGTGACAAAAACGGTACCTCAGTTTTAGAGAACGGAGCGTCCGATTTTAATAATTCAAAAAACATTTTACTTGTGTTGACAAGATGAAGAATTGGTCAAGCGGTTTCGGAGATCTAACGAAAAAAGTAAAAAAAAAAATGCCATTTGGCGGTCAAAAATGATCATTAGACATATGCACATCAAATTATCAGATATTTTATAGAGATTTTAACAATAAGTATAAATTTTATTTACATTCCTATGGGTTCCGTACCAATGTTCATCCGTTAGACAGCGACGCGGCGCTTATGCGCTTTATATTTTGTCTCTATGCAGTTAACACTAGATATACCAGCCGTTTGTATATACCTATTTCTACCAACACCAGTCAAAATGACTGGTCTCTAAGAAAACAAATTCATTGTGTTTTTAAGTTGAACAAAACTAATTACAGCTGTTAAATAAACTTATAGATATTATCAAATAACAAAATATATTAATTTTTAATAGTTTTTACAGTACTTTAGCACAATACTCAATAAAAGTGTCCGGCAGCACCCACCTGTTTGCGCGTAAAATTACAGCTACCGACGTGTTTTTAGATTTTAATTTGAATGTCGTATGAATAATTATAAAAATAATATCGGTTATTGCATTTATACCCTTCATGATATATGTTTCAAGAATTTTCATTACTACAAATGCGCTTACAGGGGTTGATTCTTCGTCTTTTGCTAAATACGGGCAACCATTTACCATATATTTTGTTTCTACATCAGATGTCGGACAGGATTTTATGTAAATTTATAGTTTTTTGGCATTTACTGGCTAAATATGCTTCTGGCCTTTGTTGGAACATGTTATTCAACCAAAGTGATATGAGCTCCCGGTTTGAAGCAATTTTTGCTATTTCTATAATTTGTTCCAAACCCGTGCTTTTTTTCTATAAATTTGGCCCGAGTATGTGTCTGAAAGCTCTTTGAACTTCTAATATACCTGCAAAACCTATTTCACTTTACTACAAGTCTTGTACAAAAAGTTTCGTCCAAACCAATTTTAGTTTTCCGATTTGGTGCATTACTTCCAAATTCGTCTTCAGAATTGGAAGAAAGTGGCTCGCATCGTCTCATACGTTTGTTTGTGATATCTATCGATTTACTAACGTACTTGATCCATCTGTATTGTCTTTATCACGAAATTTTCCCATTTCTACAGTCGATAATAGCACTGCCTTGTGGACTAATTTGTTTATCTAAAAATTCACCGTTACAATCAATTATTTCAAATCCTAGGTCCGAACATTTCAGAGATCCGCTGATTGTATTTTCCAAACAAGCTAAAAAAACATTGTTTCCATTCTTTTTTCGAAGACTCACAGTCGCTATAAAAATAAGTCGAAACCATTGTAGTTTTCTCGTTTATAGTTTTTTTTTACTCAAGAATACATTTTGGAAAATTTCTGTGTCCACGCAAATGTTACTTACTTGTATCAGTGTACAAAACGAATAAATAATTACACTTGAAAATCACTTTGAATAAAATTTTATTGAGTTTGTTGAACGAAGCTCGAAACAATTGTACTGTTGGTAAAAATCTAGTAATACTTCAGTAATCTGCATTTTTACAATGTAAAAAAGAATAAAGAATAAATAATATATATTGTCGTCGATTAGAGAGTAGGCGATAAACGCATACGATCTATGTCTATTGTTATTTCGGTTCTTTTATCAAACATTTTCTATAGAAACTTGCACCAGTCATTTTGACTGGTGCTGGTACAAGTAGTAGTAACACAATTTATTTTTGTTACTAATATATATAAAGTAACTTTGAATACACAAAATGATTTCTATACTTATAACTTAAAAAGTCATAACTTCATTTCATAAAACAAATTTTGCATATAATGGGAATTTTGAATTGAAAGTGCCCAACCAGTCATTTTGACTGGCGTGGTATATCTAGTGTTAAAACAGTACGATTGCTTTGAAAAAAAGTTCAGATCTTCTTAAATATGTCAAAATAAAGAAAACATTTTTTTCAAAAAAAAAAAAATTAAAAAAAAAAAAAATAGTATTTTTTTTGTCAAATTTATAGTTTCTCAAAAATTTTATTTTTTCGAAGTAATTTTTTTTCAAAAATGTTAATCGTTTTTAAAAAAATAATAATTTTTGGTACGGGAAGTTCCAGCAATTTGCCTTAAGGCACGATGCCCTAATTGCCTTAAGACAGAATTCCACTTACAGCTAGATGGTATATATTTTCGTTTCAAAGGTTTCTGAACATTTTGGCACACCTCAGAAAAAATTGATGCATGTGTGTTTGTGTGTGTAGTATGTACACCTAAGTCTGTTTTTACGCGGAGATTGGTTCCAGAAGAATCCGTGTAAAAAAAAAAACGTGTAAAAAAAGACATTGATCTTATACAAAAATAGGTGATTTGTTCCTAATCTCTAAAACCTATTAAAATTGGTGAAAAACAAGAATTTTTAAGAACAAGAATTAAATTAGTGCTATTCACATTTGCTTTGACCAGTAAAAATTGTTTGTACGCGCTAAAGGGGAATTCACTTAAATCTTTAAGCTAGTGTTTGCAAACTATCGATACTATCGATGGTTTCAGACTTTTTTCTTTCATAAATACTTTTTTGTGATATGAACATACTTCGCAAAAATTTAATTTGACAAAAAAAATTTAGGTACATAAAATTTCAAATCGTGCTAAATGGAATAAATTCGTGCAAAAAATTTAAAAATATTCAATTTTCAAACCGTGTTATATCAAAACCGTGTACAAAAAGACCGTGTAAAAACAGACTTAGGTGTATTTATGTATGTCCGGATACATTTTTTCGTCAACAATTTCGAGAGCATAGATCAACCGATTCAAATGATTAAAAAACATCCGATAAATATTGATGGGAATATATGTGCTAATTATTGTTTGGAAAAGGCAGGTCCATCCGTTTTGAAGATAGGGGGCAAAATGGCAATTACTTCTACGGGAGAATGGAGCATCTGATAAAAATAATTTATATTTAATACATATTCAAAAAGCGTTTAACTTTTATTGGCGGAGCGAAGTATTGAATTCCATTTTTAAAAAGGCACGGACATGCAGAAAAAAAGATTCAAAAATTTACCTTTTTTGGTCAAAAATGATCACTGGACATAATTGCATCAAATTTTCACATAGTTTATAGATATTTTGATAATAAGTCAAATTTAGTTTCTATTTCTCTGGGTTCAGTACCAAGAATTATAATGTTTATATTTACAATACCGTTCGTCGCCTAATTTATAAGCTCTTATATTTTGTCTATAAAATACGAATGATGACACTTACAGTATTATAATAATTTGTTTGAAAATATTTAAAACAATTATAGTTAATCAATTTTTGTTGATTATTGATTACTTTTATTCCTCTGGGATAAAAGTTTATTGATTGTGGTACGGGAAGTTCCAGCAATTTACCTTAAGGCACAATGCCATGCACCACTAGTCAGTGTTACAATCAAATTTATTAATATACATGTGTACTGCCTTTTATACACTTCAGATATCTTAATTGTATTAAAAGAAATCATTCTGCATTTCGCAGTTTGTATATACCATGACAACTTTTCTAAATTTTGTTGAAAAATTAGAATAATTCTATTTATTTATTTAGTTTAGTTCCTATAATTAGAAAGAAATTTAATGAACTAATTATTAGATTAATAAGAATTTTTTATCGTAAAATATATTAATTTAAACAATGTTACTATTTTTTTTTATAAACTCTTTAACTTTAATTGGTACTCTATAACAGAAGCGATCGTTAGAGAATGTCAAATATAAGACACATTTTGAAATTGACCAATAAAACAAATAAAATCTATTTATTTTCATATATCACAGTCTCTTATATTTATTATGCTTTAACTTATTG